AGAGAGAGAGAGAGAGAGAGAGAGAGAGAGAGAGAGGGGCAATCTTATTCCTGGAAGATAATTTTCTTTACAGTTGTGTATGTTTTATTTCAGAGACTTATTGAGTTCTTAATTATTTTCTAAGGTATATTAATTTCACCTTCATGTCTAAATATAATGCATAGAAATAGAATATCCTAAAAAAGAAGTTTGCTGTAATATCAGATTAAAGAGAGGTGATGATCTGTAGCATTTTAGCTTTGGGCTTGTCACCATTGAGAGACCGGCTCTGCAATGGGAGGGTCTCCTACTCCCCCTTCAGGCATCTTCTGTCTTCTGCCTCATCTTCCTCCCTCCAACATCCCTCTCCCCTCTTCTCCAGCTCTCCCCGTTCTCCCTCCACATTTGGAGGTCCCTAGAGTTCCTTGGGTCTTTTTATACTGTGTTCTCTGCTTTGTAATCACAGCTCCTGTCAGAACTCTAAAATCTCCACCAGATTCCCCAAGCAAATTAACTTCCTTGACATGTTGGTGTCTGTCATGACACTTAAGTTATATAACAGCTAATGGATTTTACATCTCCACCGAAGTGGAATCTCATTAAAAACTAAAGTATTATGACTAGCTTCAAAGAAATAATGATTATTAGTTTAATAATAGTGATAAAGGGGTAATTCTTAATATTATCAAATAATTTATTGTTAGACACTAATATTAGCATTTCTAATTCATTTAAAAACATGATTTAGTTTATTATACTACTTTTATTATGTGAAGTATAGTATGTGTCAGTTATAAAATATTGGAAACATAATATTTAACATTGCATTAATGTGGTTTGAAATTATAACTCTAACATTAAAAACAGGAAAGATTTAAATCATCTTGTTCTAAATTTATCTATATAGTTCAACATATTATTTAGGTTAGGATTGGGTCAATAAACATCATGACATAATAATTTTATATTAAACATTTTATATATATGTTTTATATTAAACATTTTATATACTTCATATATTTTATATTAATTATCAACTAATTTTAAATTTTGATGCTATTGTTATTTTGTGTCACTTATTTTCTATTTATGTTGGTGTAAAAGATGCAAAAGAAAATCTGAGAAAAACCTAAAAATCTCAATAATTGTTGATGTATACATAGTCATATTTTACAAAAATTAACGTCTTTCAGGTAATAAATTTGTGCTTCTGAAAACTGTATGCCTGTCACATATTCTTTAACTTTCCATAATCATGATTATAAGTTGTATAGGACAAGAAAATGAATTTGCCTTATGAAATAATTTTGTAACTTAAATTAATATATCACCAAATAATGTCCTCTTCCCTTTCCAAAACTGATTTCTGCTTATATTAATCAATAGTAAGAAAGAATGATAGAGTAAATGTAGTATAGTGTATTTTGTTCTTATATAGACCATTTTTTCTAGGGCTTTGAAATATATGTAGAATAAATAATCAATAGTTCTGAATAACACCTTTAAATTGATAATTATGTCTATATAACTCTAGATAAATGTTTATTTTCTATATATTTTTTGCAAATACTCTGATATTTATATTGAAACATATGTGATGGACACTTTATATCTTGCATCTTTAGTGAAAGATACAGAAAAACTTTGCTAGATATTGTCGGTCTCTATCTACCAAAAAGAACACGCAAAGCCTAAACTGAGAATAGGTTGGATGTGAGTAGAGATACTGGGTTATGTTACAGGAACACAGAGTTCACAGCCCTGAAGAAAAAACCTTCTATGGGGATTGGGCAAACCTGCCTGGAAACAGCATACACTTTGCAGATCTAACAATTAATCAATGAGCTCTCATAGGCAACATGGATAATAAGAATTTGAGGGTGTTTTAACATTTAAATTTCTCCAAAATAATTATTTGAGCATAATTGCCAATTATTCTTAGGTACTATCCATCTTTTGATTGGAGAAAACGTCATGGGTTTAATTTTTTAACATCCTCTCTCTCTCTTTCTTTCTAGATGACACGAGAACAATACATATTAGCAACACAGCAGAACAACTTGCCAAGAACTGAAAATGCACAACTTTACCCAGTGGGAATTTATGGCTGGCGAAAGAGGTGCTTATACTTCTTTGTCCTTCTGCTGTTGGTTACCATGATAGTTAACTTAGCCATGACAATATGGATATTGAAAGTTATGAATTTCACTGTGGTAAGTACCACTATGATTTTACACCTATTGCTTTGGGTTCAAAGACAATCTTGCTCTATTGTCTTTATCGATTTAATTAAAAGTTATTCATCTTAATCTTTGCAAGTATGTCTTGAAACTTCCAAAAGAACCATATTTTAAGACTACATTAAATATAGTTAGCCGTGACAAACATGTGGCTTTACTACCTAAAATTTAAGGGTGGAAAGTCTAGGTTTTAAGATAGCACAGAACATTGATGCATTAGAAATCTAGAAAATATTTAACCATTAAGTATTAATTATTCTATACTATCACTGAGAATATTAGAAATGAGTCTATACTTATATATACTTTTCATTTAATTAATCTTCATATTATAAAACATGTGTGTTTGAATTATTTTATATAGATATATACCTCATATGTCTCTGTATTTGCTCTCTATACAATACACTTCATGGTGAAATCTAAACTCTGGAATTTCTCTTGAACTTCATGAGCTAATATCTATAACCGCTATTAGATAGTTACCTCATTCTTTCAGAACACATAATTGGTAAATATAAGATAAATCAGAGTAAAAAAGAAATTTTATGAAAATGAACAACTTAATAGCAAAACGATTGTGTAACTTATTGCTAAGTTTGGCTTCACTTTATCAAATGTAGATCTGTGAACCTTACTTAACAGGAAAATAAATCACTGCTTTAGCAAAGTTTAACTTAATTCATTCTATATTTTTTAGCTAAATCCTTAAATTTTTCTACTTTATTGTTTTTTTATCATTTCACCTATTCTTAGAGACCTCAGGTACTTTTACTTGCAAACCACAATTATTTTTTGCATCTTCAAGCAGGTATCTAATGCAGTATGTGTAATGTCATGGGCATTTCTATATTGGGTCTTAAAAACAAACAAACAAAAAACAACCTTTTATGGGCATTGATTTAGCAAGAACTTATTTCTGACTTTTCTAATACTTCATTCTATCATGAGCCAGAATCTCAAAAGGTAAAATAAGCCCAACATTTGCCACAGTGTAAGTCACCACACATACTGTGTATATAAAGAGCTGAAGAGGGCAGGTGGCCTAAAAATTTCAGAGAGAAAAATCCATAACTGTGCCAATCGTGATACAAGAGCATATGGTCAATGGAGAAAAATGAGTTAAGCATTGATTCTGTGTTTTCCAGTACAACACAAATTTCAAAGAGTATTCTTAAAAATGGAAAAAGAAAATATAGACAGGAGCCAATGCATTTCCTAGATTAGAAAAACAAAAACATGAAACCATGTCCAAGAGATGGATGTGTGTTTAGGGCCATGGTTCAAGGCAGGTTGAGTCTCTGGGTGGCTAGAGATGCAGTTCAGGGTTAGTAGGCAAAGTATTCCTTATGAGATTCTCAGGTAATACATCTGAACCACTCCTTAGTTTAAGACTTGACTCAGTTTCCCCTCTCAGTTGAGAATATTTTGGCACAAATATTTCTAACTTTCCCCCATTGTATTCATCCTGAGCATTGCTTCTTCTTTCCCTGATTAATAGCATTAATGAGTCATTTATCACATAGTTGGGGCAATGTTTGTACCTCTGAAAATGCCTTCATAACACCTTAATTATGAGCCAAACTTGCAGGTGCTGAAAGCAACTATTTCAACCTTTTCTTAAAAAAGAAGATAAATAATTTCAATAATTTGATTTCTTCTACAAAAAAGAAAAGCATCTATCAAAAGTTTTTGAAAAATGGATTATCTCTCTCACTCTAGAAGGCCTTGAATCTATCTAGGGACCAGAATACTGAAGTTTTCAAGTAACAGCCATGTAAACTTCTCAAATGTATTCACATTACTTTAAAAAATGCACAAACTTCATAATTACATGACTGCATGCCTCACACTCCCAATACCTTGCCCCATGCTGATACCAAGGCCAGCTCAGCCATCCGAAGGAAATAATTGAAACCATCATCAGTGTCCTCAGGATTCTCATAGGCCTCAGGGTTGCTGTCACCCATGGAGCTATCTAATTTGAACCTCAGCTGGTCAAGATGTGAATGCTAACCTAGTCTTGGGGACAATAAAAAGGGATTGTTACATAGGAATCTTAGTATATGTTTTTGTTTGTTTTGTGCCTTTTTTAAAACACCATTTTACATTTGTGACTTTGTAATTTATTTTCTAAATCATGATTTTACCTTATAATTAAAAGGAAAACTGTTCTTCAACTATTCAAGTTTTTTGATATACTTCAAGTAACTGGACATATGAAATTATGATAATTGTATGTAGATATTCTTTGTAAGAAAACACTCTATCCCAATGCAGTTTTTCATCACTGTTCAGATAAACTCAGAATTACTTAAGTAGTTAAAGATTATTGCAGCTCAAAATACTGCAGATTAAGTTGTATACACCTGAAAAGTGAAATAATTTGTAATCCTCTTACATTAGAGCAGTAAAAAAAAAAGAAAGAAATCAATTTCATGTTTTCACTAGTGCATTATGTTTGTATCTATCTCGACAGCAAATACCAAAGACTGGTTGCCATACTTAGCAAGAAGCAGAAAAATGTGTAAATTGTTTGGGGATTACTATTGATCTGCACAAAATGTATTTCACTTTCATTATAACTCTTGCCATCCAATACATGGAAATATGTGGCTGTTAACATCTTTTATTTGAGCAAACTGGGCATGTTATTGTTATCAAAATATTGTACTTTCAGCACAGCAAGGTTAGCTGCCAGTCTGCTTTATGATGTTGCTTGGAGGCCATCATTATGACCAATATTATGCGTGATCTGATAGTTGATATGACCTTATTAACTTCTATTTCTTATTTGTAGAAACTAAAATCATTCTGCTTATTGAGATGCTCCATTGCTGAGAACCAAGTAAAAGGAAATGAATTTATACTGCAGGATGAAAGACTTAGGATAGATATAAACAATAATTTCCTGGTTATGAAAGTTGATAAGTATAGGAAGAAGTTGAAGAGTAAAGATTTTGAAACTTCATTCTTCCAAGATCAGAAGAACTCAACTACTTGGCTGTTGTTCTTTTTGTTTGATTGGTACAATAACTTAATGGTTCATATTAATGATCTACTCTTGAAGGTCTATCAAATCCAGGTTTTCTGCTGAGGCAACATTATTCTCCAGGTTCAAGTCTCATTCTAAGTATATTAGCTTTATATTTGAAAATTTAGAAAGATAGGATTATGAATATTTATTTTAACAATAAGGTTACCTCATCAAAGTTTCTGGCATCCATCTGCAACATAATTCTATTAGACATGTTAACTAGCTAGAAAAAGAAAGGATAAAAAATATAAATGAAATTTATTAAGCCAAATTGGAGAACAAAGTCCTGAATGTTGTGACTGAGAAGTTAGTAAAAACCAGATGTGGGTAATAATTGAAACAATCAATTTATTGAACAAATTGGGAAAAAATATTCTTAGAGGCTTCCATCAACATTTGTATGAATGGTGGCTGAAAGTAAATTCCAAGAGACGAAGTCATTTAGGTTGGCAAAGGAACTGGCAAATTTTTGGTTCAATTATCTGTGTATCTCTAGGGTTCATTTTCCAACAGTCCCTTACTTGATCACTTAGTATCTTCTTAAACTCTTCATGATAAACAAACCATCCCACTCAATCACTGTAATAGTTTTATTAATGTTTAGATATGTTAATATTTTATTGTAGTCTCCCCACATATAAGTTCAAACATGGCATTATAATTCCATTATTTCAATATCACATACATTGATAAATTTCTAATAAATGCAGATGGATGCCAGTACATTCTCTTTCCTCTATTCTTCCTTCTTCCTTTATACTACAGGCATTACATTTATTTATTTATTTTTTCTAATTCTTGCATTATGGTTGTATATAAAAGTGGAACTAATTGAGATATATTAATACATGAACATTACATAGTTTAATCGATGTCATTTCATAGTTCCTCTCTTTTCCTACCCTTCCTCCCTCCCTCTCAATCTCCTTCCTCTACCTTTCTAGCTCCATCCATTCATCAGAAAATGACATAATGTCATTCTTCTTTATGACTGAGTAAAGCTCCATTGTGAACACACACCATATTTTCTTTATCTATTCATGTCAATGGGCACCTAGGTTTTTCTTATAACTTGGCTATTCTGAATTGCACTGCTATAAACATTTGTTTGCATATATCACTATAGTATGCTGATTTTAGTTCTTTTTTTGGCTGGCACCAGGGATTGAACTCAGGGACACTTGACCACTGAGCCACATCCCAAGCCCTATTTTGTATTTTAATTAGAGACAAGGTCTCACTGAATTGCTTAGTTCTTGCTTTTGTTGAGGCTGGCTTTGAACTCGCGATCCTCTGGCCTCAGCCTCCTGAGCCACTAGAATTACAGGTATGCACCACCGTGCCTGGCCTGATATTTTAGTTCTTTTAGGTAAATATCAATAAATGGGACAGCTAGGTCATATAGTGTTTCCATTCCTAGTTTTTGAGTAATCTCCATTTTGCTTTCCAAATTCATTATACTAATTTACATTCCTACCAGTAATGCATGAGTGTTCATTTTCCTAACATAAAATCTCAGTATAGTTTGATATGTATTTCCCTGATTTCTAAATGTTGAATCTTTTTCTTTTTTTCATATATTTGTTGGCTATTTATTTGTATTTCTTTTCTTGAGAATTGGCTGTTTACATCATTTTTTTGTTTACATCCATTATTTGTTTGGGTTGTTCAATTTTTTGGTGTTATTTGTATATTCTGGATATCAATCCCCTGTTGGAAGAGTAGCTGGCAAAGAATTCCCCATTCTGTAGGGTCATTCTTCAAACCTGTTTGCTTTGCTGTGGAGAAGCTTTTTAATTTGAGGCCATCCCACTTACTGATTCTTGGTTTTATTTCTTGAGCTTTAGAAGTTTTATTAAATAAGTCAGTGTCTGCACCAATATATTGGAGTGTTGACCTTGTATTTTTTTCTAGCACTTACAGTGTAAAGTGTTAT